AGGTCAGGGAACTGGGCCAACCCTTCCAATCTACCGGTCTAGAAATATTAGGGGTTCATTTAACATTACCTCTTTCCTCAACACGATACCTGAAATACCCAAATCTAATTTTATTAAGAACTTTGATAACTATTGCATACATATAATAAATCTGATTAAGATAACGCATATATATATATATATATATATATATATATATATATATATATATATATATATATTTATATATAGCAGCATGGCCTGGAGTTGCCCGTGCTTGATTCCAAAATCGTACGACTCATACAGCAAACACTCTCACTTGACTTAAAATATTTTTGCCGCTCCTTGCCTTTAAAGGAGTGCCCTTGGCCGTGCTGATGTTGCTACATGCCTTACTTCTTGCCTATCTCACACTGCGGATTTTTTCTAAGCTCTATGCTAAACATTAAATCTGTTACGAAAAAAGAACTAAACAAAATGAACACAAAACGATCAGCTTAACAAAAAGGACTCGTAACTGGAAAAACCGAATGAAAAAAGAATGTTAACAACAATTACTTTTTAACACCCAACCCAATTCTGCGGAATCAGAATCAACGTTGATTTTAAGCAAGCGAATGAGGCAATTAGAATAAAGTGCCATGCAGATTTAAATTTTTCCCACTTGTGACGAATGCAGCTAACGATCTTTTTTTGCATGCTTGAATGCGAGTTAACATTCGTGTCAGTCAGCTGTTGGCTCTCACGCTGGCCAATAGAATCTTCCTGCCTATTCATGGCAGCCAACTATAGGCTCACAATCTGGCCAGTAGAAAATCGCCGCAAACTACATGAAAATTGCCGTAGAAGCATGAAAATATCGATTATTTCCACTATCGATAGGAGTTGGGAAATACAAAGTCGGTCTTCGCATTCCCGCTAACTTGGGGCATGTGCATGTGCATGTAATTACGGCCGTGCATTCGTTACACACACATACACACTGCCATATATATATATATATATATATATATATATATATATATATATATATAATTGTGTGTATGTATGTAAGTATATATGTATTATAATCTTATCTTAATCTGACTACTCTTTATTTCATGTTTATATATATATATATATATATATATATATATATATATATATATATATATATATATATATATATATATATATATATGTATGTGTTTGTGACTATGTGAGTATTTAGTTGCGTTGATGGGAATTTGTGACCCTGGATTTCACGCCCTTTGGGTTCGTCAGACAAAGTGTGTGAAACTAAGTATCACAAACTCACATCGACGCAACTAAATGTTAGCGCTATCGGTGATATTGAGCGGTTTACAATAAGTACTGAGCATATATAATATATGAATAATATATATAAAATTGCTTATATATATATATATATATATATATATATATATATATATATATATATATATATATTTTGTTGTTTTGTTGTTTCAGATTCGTTACAAGAACCGGAGCCAGACATGCTATTGCTATTTACGAAACAATCAAATGTTTACGTGGATGAGTTGCTAACCCAGCGCACAAGATGAACCGACTGACATGTGGCAAGGGTTGAGGTGAACGTAAATTGTTGCAAAAGAGTAAAAAAGAAGGGAATAAATAATGAATGAAGAAAGTATAATGAAGAAAGTATAATGAAGAAAGAAAAGTAGGAAGTATTCGAATAAACACATAACTCGTTTCAGCAATGCAGGAATAAAACGAAAGAGATAGAAAAATAAGAAAGAAACGAAGGAAGGAAAAAATATCTCCACTAATGGAATATAAGGGAGACGGAATATAAGGGAGACGGAATATCAGAACAGAAATGAAGAAAGAAAGAAAGAAAGAAAGAAAAAAAAAGAAAACAACTCCCCATATGGAAAATTAACGAAACAGATTTGCAGGACGATAAGAAAGAAAGAAAGAAAGAAAGAAAGAAAGAAAGAAAGAAAGAAAGAAAGAAAAAAAAAAAAAAAAAAGAAAACAACTCCCCATATTGAAAATTAACGAAACAGATTTGCAGGACGATAAGAAAGAAAGAAAGAAAGAAAGAAAGAAAGAAAGAAAGAAAGAAAGAAAGAAAGAAAGAAAGAAGGAAAAAGGAAAGAAAAAAGAAAAGAAAAGAAATCCCCCCTTGGAAAACAACTCCCCGCTTTGAAAACAACCTCCCCACCGGAAAACAACTCCCCTTTTGGAAAATTCATGAAACAGATTTGTAGGACGATAAGAAAGAAAGAAAGAAAGAAAGAAAGAAAGAAAGAAAGAACAACTCACATCATGGAAAATTAATGAAATCAATTTACATGGCTAAAAGAAAGAATGAAAGAAATAAACACAGAAAAAAAGGAAAGAGCGTAAGGAATGAAAGAAAGAAGGAACGAACGAACGAACGAACGAAGGAATGAAAGAAAGAAAGAAAAAAGAAGGAAGGAAGGGATGAAGGATGGAAGGAAGGAAGGAAGGAAGGAAGGAAGGAAGGAAGGAAGGAAGGAATTCCACACATCCAAATAAATGAAACAGCACCAGGAGCGGAAGGAAAATTAGATAAAATATCGCGATTAAATAAATATAAATGTCATGATTTTTTTCTATATTAGGTTTAAGGCCACGTTTGTTGAGTTGGTGACACTGCAGGGAGCTTTTCATGCGTCTCGTCGGCTTTGTGTGTAATTCGCCGTCGGCTGAAATTGTTGTTACCCAACCCGAGGTGTGATATCCTAATTACATATGATTAGCTCAATTATAACTTGAAATATAGAGCCATTCGCGCATACAGCATACTCCGATTGCACGAAATAAGAGCGCATTTTCAAGATATAAACCCCAACTTACACTCATAATACACACGCAAGTAAAAAAAAAAAATGATCTGGAGGAATTCTTCTTTGACGGGTCGTGCCCCTTCAGAATGCGGGCAATCAACGGCTTGCTAGAATTTCCTATTTTTTGTAGTGCTTAGTTACATTTGTCTTTTTACTATCTCACATAATCCGGGTTCTGCCAACCATTTGCATAAAACCGTTAGGTATGTTATCTGCTACTTCCCTCTATCGTTGCTTTCAGTATGTCATGTGAGTGTCTACTTTACCCTCTTCCTCATTGTTTTCTAGACATTTCAACAGTGATGTTAAATATGTTTCCTTTTATTCGCCGTTGCTCACATGTTCAAGCCAGTCTTAGTATCATTCAGCAGAAGCAGGTTTCTGTGGCCAGTGTTCAGATATTAATGCATACGAAATTGAATATGGCGTATATGGAGACATCGCACGAACTTAGGGACAACGAGACACTGCCATACAAAACCTTTGGATCACCTTTGTAAATTAATTACTTACTTAAACCGGACTACCTTAGTAAATAAATTGCACTTTTTTTGTTGCACCTAATACTGAAAATTTATCCATCTTCGGGGTGGAATTAAATCTTTGTAAACGTATATAATTTTGCTGTTTATGCTTTTTTGAGCATTTACTATTTTTCTTCTACCGTCCTTTTTCATATAACGCCACGCCATTACGGGTCCATCAGAAAATTTTATGGTCTTTCCGGTGCATATTTTATTTTCTCACTCCCACTTCTATTCTTACATATTGCCTTGCGTTAGAATGTATCTCTATTTTGCATTCATCGCTAGCAATTACTTTTTTGCCACTTTCCAGAACACTATCTTAAACCTGCTTTTGATCAATTCAGTCACATATCTTTGGTTAATAATGCTTTCTTTTTTTTTCATTTAAGTTATTTCACGTAATAATCTGCGTACTGTTAAACTGACACATCCCTGTTAAGACTTCATTCAATCCTTAGCTGTTACTTTTCTTTCATTATGTTGGTCTAATTTTTATGGATTTTTCGGGTTTATTTGCACTTAAAGCATTTGCAATAGTAGCAAATATCTTTCGTGTAGTTTAAAGAGTAATTCTGGAATTTCTCATCTCTTGTTCTCGTGGTCTACGAAAGAACAACTAACGTCTTTGTTTCAGCAGATTTTTTAGCGATGATTTCAATGTAAAGAAGTAAGTTAATATTGATCATCAATGGCTTACCAAGGAACAACACGTTCTTGTTAATAAGATGAAGGGATTCCTGTTTAGAAATTTCTATATTATCATCACTGTATTATTTCAGATCTTTCATTGGCACAATAGTTTTACATGGACTTTTTTAGCTTCATCCTTCTTAAAGCGCTGCATCTTCCGTTTCAGCTAAGAAAACGCAACAACATATTTTACAGTCCTTACGGCCATTTGTCCATGAAACAAAGATTTTATAAATTTAAATACAGTACACGATTGGCGACAAAGTCTCATCATTTTACAGAGTAAATATCTAGATTTAACCGTAAGTTCTATGCTAAGAGTTTCTTCTCTCGTACTTCTCGCTTGTGGATCTCTCTTCTGGTTTCTTGCCTCCCATCAACATTGATCTTCAAAAATTTAAATACAATGTCAGTTGATATCTACTGTTTTTTTATTGTCCCCTCTACTTAATAATGTTTCTTTTTATCATAGTCTCTAACACTCAGTAACGCTTTGCGTCTTAGTGGCTTTATTGCCTTGCTTGGGGTAAATTAAAAAATATGCTTGAGTTGAAATCCTCACCTGAATTTATCAGACTTGCATCGAAATTGTTCAATGTTTACAACGAACTTCCTTACGTTTTTGTAGAACTTGCCAATTATTAGTTCCCATGAATATTTTATATTTTCACATCTGAACTTAATTTCTGTTTCAACCATCGAATCATCTTTACGGCAAGTTTTATATCTTTAATACCGCACCGTGGTAATTAATTTAATACTTCGAAACAGGGATATTTCATGGAAAGGCGTACTGTTCACGAATATCTGCGTAGAATGAACCGGTTTTCATCCTAACTGAACAGAGACATTTTGCCATCATTCACAAAATAAACATTTAGGTTTCATTTAGTATTTTATATATTTTTTCTCCTCAATTTTTTTCTTTGCCAGTTTTCACTCAATAGAAGGCTCTAAAGCCATTCATAGTAGATTCTTTCTCTGTGAAGTTATATTAGCGGAGGAGTGTTTGGAGTATAGAGCTGAAACAACCTTTAGAAGGAACCGGAAAAACAATCCAAAGCAGGAAACAAGGGATAAAAATCTACTCCAGTATTAAAAGAATGGGGAGACGTGTGAACCGGGCGATATACTTCAATTGTTGAAAGAAAGAAAAAATTATAAAATATTGAATAAACGTTCAGGATTCTGGGGCAGACGTTAGAAGTTGAAGTAGACTTTAGTAGGAACCGGAAACCTAATCGTAAACAGGAAAAAATCGCTAAATCTCTACTCCTGTTCACAAGATCGGGGAAGAGTCCAAACCGGATGATATGTGAAGATATCTACTATAATTCTCATACCAGCGATTTATTTGATGTATTCTGATATATTCAAAAACCTTTTCTGGTTAATATGAGAGATTACTGAACAAGCAGTAGAGCTACACTTATGTCTTATACATGACACAAAGGCATTTGACAAGGTACGTCACAAGGTCTTATTTAAACTGTTATGAATATTAGATCTATATTGAAAAGATGTTACAGCAAACTAATACATGTACTGAGTGAACAACCGACTGCATACGGTCAACGAATGGAGTAGGTATACAAAATTATAAAAGGTTAAAACAATGATGAGCTTTATCTCTACGCCTGTTCAAACTATCCTGGAGAGCCTACCAGGACATAATATCAGCGGTCTTAATCTTAAACAATATAAGTTAGGCAAACACAGAATGAAAAATCAATGACCTCTTAGACAATGTAGTAAAGGAAAGCAAGGAAAAAGAATTAAAGGGCAATTGTAAGAAGACTGAGATATAGTTCTACAGAAGGATAATGTGAATTCCATGGACGGAGCAAGTAAGCAGAAAAGTAAGTTTTTAAAAATGGTAACAAAAGGATATTTATACAGAGAATCATGAGTAAAGAGCTGAATTTTCTTCGGACCATTATGAGGAAGGAGGGGTTGTAAAAATAATCCCACAGACTACGTGCCATCAACACAGGTGAAAACAACGAACTTATATGAATAAATAACTGAACATGAGGTGGGAGGGTTCGCAAACGGAAAATGGCTGCTATTGGGCCAGTTGCGTAAGGAATTTTGGGAAAGCCACGATTTCTCAAGTTCTGAAATGACATGTCACATAGAAGAAAATATCTTCAAATAAATGCTTTCTCTTGACTGTTATTAAATATTTTCGGTGGTATGATTTCTTCAGCTTACTGTAGGAGGTAACCTTCCGAGAATTTCGAAAAACCATATTCAGTCCAGTGGTATACATGTCGTATTATTGGATAGAAATATATATAAAGATATACACTGTATTATATAGTACTGGCAGGTTTCGCCCGCTCGCCATCACTTCCCAAAGTAAGATATATTCACTAATGAAATCATTGGAACAAAAATTTTAAATGATCATTTCATTCATAAATTGTCTTGTTATAGTTAAGGGAAGTTTTACAAATAGATGCCAACTTGTTGAAGGCCAAGTAAAAATGTAAATTTCAGACATTTTCTGCACTATATGAAAAGATATTCCTAAACAACTATTTTTGATATGAAATCAAGACAATCCTCGAATAATAGAAAAGTAATGAAGGGCAGTTAATTAATTAAAAAAATTCTTTTTTAAAAAATCAAGATGAAATTAGTTAAACCTGAAGAGTGATGTTGCCTAGAAGTAGATAATACATGATATAGACTGTGTGTAAATCACTATAAAGTAATTTCTAACAGATCTATTTATCATCTCTCTGTTACGCCTGTCTTTGGGCAGAATGCACTCAGGGGTGACTCTGTCAAATGACAGAATCGCAACTGAGAAAAATTATACTGAGAGGTTGCCAGCCCGGGGAAGAGCTGCCCGTGGCCGCGCCCTTTAACTCTATTAGAGAGTGGGATCGGTGCTCTCACAGAGGCCAGCGCAACTGACGTTTGCGGAGGCTGCGGGGAATTTTTGTTCCCCCACCTTAAAAAAGACCTTGTGTCACAACTCGTGTTAGTGGATAGACAGAGTAAAAACCTAATGTGTAAATTACTATAAAGTAGAGCTGGGGCTTTTTAATATAAGAATTCGTGGAAGAATTGAGCTCCAATTTCGTATTTATCCATATAGATAGCATAATATAGGTTTTACTTAATTAGCTATTATGATTATCTAAATCTTCAAATGCTTCATGTATAACTAATTCTAATTTCTATTTTCCCATCTTTACACTATATTAACGAATCGATCAATACAACAATACAAACAATATATCGTTATGTGAAAATATCCTCTTCAAATATAAAGTAATTGACATAATTTTTCAGTTGTCCATTTGAATATACAATAGCGTTTCTAAATTATTCTAGCTGCTAAAGACATTTTTATGTTGTTTATAGATATTTTTCTTCAATAAATTAATTTCGTTTTTTATCTTGAACATTCCACATTGAACGAAACGCCTCGGCTAAACTACAGTTTCCCT